CTCTTTCGCTACTTTTTCTTCCCTTGCATACCAGTATTTTTGTTTTACTTTTCTTTATTTTCATAACCAATTATATATAAATTAAATTTGAATTAGTACGTATTTAAATTGCTCGATATTTTTCAAATTCGTAGGATATAAAAGAAGGTAGGTAAGTAAAACAAGTGTAAAATAATAGAAAAACATTAACAATTTCTGAAAGCTGAACTTTGAGATGTGGCCGTACCTACTTAGTTATTGTATTTACCTCATGCAATTGTTTTTTATTAATATTGTAGGTGCACCTTATTCTAATTTGCATAAACAAGATAAGAAGTGGTGTAATTAAATATTGCTTAAAAAACATAATTATTTTTACGGAATCGGCATTAGTTGTTATTATTTGAATTGTAAATCCATTACAATTATTAGAAATATTTTATTAACCAATTATTTTGCAATCCTGCGACGTACGTATGTAGGTCATTTATAATTGTTATTACTATAACTTTTTTGTGGTATTTACGCATTTAATGTTGCATATATAATTAAAATAATGCCTTTGGTACAAGTATATATCTTATAAATAATTTTAGCTAACTTCATAAAGTTAAATAATGAGTTAATATAGTACTTAAAATAATAAAAAATGAAAAACTCAAAGGGTTGGTGACAAACTAGAACTTTTCTGTTCTATAAAATGAAGTAAAAGTCATTTATTGTGGCATTTTTATTAAGTACTAGCTGATTACGTAATTTTTATTCGCGGTGTACTGTATTTAAGTACAGAATTGCATAGCATCAACTTGCTCGTGAAAATGATGCGCAGCTACTGCTTACTTTGCGATGAGGCAGAAGTAGAAACATCCCTCTGCTTCTTCAAGTGACAAGGAAACACACATGTGTGTTTGTAGGTCACACATTTGTAGTTGTGACCTTAAAAGTCTATCGTTGGCATCTATTTGTATGAAAACTATCATGATAATTTTTATTTAGGGTAAATATCAAGTGTCTTTAGAGAACAGGTGTTACCACTTTAATTATATAGATTTCATTCTTAATAGGTACAATGTGACGAGTAGTTTTTATATTTTAGAGTCATCCTGTATATAAATAAATAATAATTATTTTATAGGGATGGTCAACTAAAAAGAGAGAAGCCGAAGAAAGAATGGCGCGAGTGGCAGCAGGAAGAGTTCAGTAAACGACTTAAAAATGAGTAATTTTTTCAGAGATTAGGGTAAATAATAAATAAGTTAATCTTAGAACGAATAATTGATAGGTTTAATTTGTATGATGTATAATTTCGTAACGATATTGGTTTGTTTAGTGCGTTGTTTTTGTGGCATTTTTTATTTTTCAATATCTTTTTTTTTTTAATTTGGGAGAATGAATGTGTTAAGTATTAACATTACCAGAGTTAATTAATGAGAAAAAAACAAATACGAACAGCATCACACGTGGAATTTTATAGAAGCGTAAAAATAACTAATTTTATTGTTTTAAATGAAAAAAAAACTTCTACTTCATAAAGAAACGTTGATACAAAAGAGATACACATTTTAAGTGGACAATTTGTAAATATTTTGTCGGTAAGTACATTGGTTTCGCTTATTATACAAAACAAGTAAAAATAATTGCTTATTTATTCGATTACAATTTTATAGGTTTCGTGATAAATATATATACAAGATATTTCATAATAGTAAAGTGATTATCAAATGAACTGCACTCTGTGAGACATCTTGTGCGTGCTAACAAAAAATAAAAAAGTGTCGGATAATAAATTATTAATTAGTAGTGCTTAGAATTTATAGAAACTCTAAACAACTTAAAAAAAAGTTAATATAATATTTTCATTTTATACCTACTGAAACATTTTCATCGTCAGAGAGTAGGTACGTTGTTTTCCTTTCAATTTTACTTTTTTTTCTGTATTAAATTCCTATCTTTCCACATATTTCTGTAGTAAATTTTATTTTTTTTTAGTGGTTTAAAACTCTGAAACATCTAAATCTTATTACGAATATGTTGATACATTGTTTCTTTTTGATGAAAATCTATTAAAGATAGGTATAGTATTTTTCTACAGTAAATCTATAAATGTCGATAACAAGTTTATCAAACTGATATGGTTTTTTCTTCGGTCAGTAATTAACAGCCAATAAAAGACTGAAGAAACGTTTGTTTTTCTACTTTTCATGTACATAAAGATAAAATTTTAAAGTACTGCTGTAAGTGCGAGAAATGAAACCATAAGATAAGTTCTTTTAAATGTTGAATACATAAATATGTAGCTCTAGAATATTAATCACAAAGTATATAAAGAGATGTTGTACGAACAGTTTGATTCAATAATTTGATCAATTATAAACGTTTTTCAACATATCAGTACCATTATCTTCTTTTTTATTAAATGTGTTAATACATTAAGTACATTTATGATAAAAATAAAGCTCTGGTGTATGAATTTTTTGTTCAGTGTGGACCTTTAAGACTG